CCTGACAGCCTTCCTGCCTTTAACAGTATGTATATACATTTATGTGGGGACCCACGTATGTGCGTGATGAGTCTGGGCTATACAGCACCGCACTGCCGCTAAAGGTGATGACTCCCACCTAATCCGTATATGTATATGCGTCTTATACAAGCTACCAACAAACATGTTCTCCTTCGGGCTCTTGAGTCTTAGGCTCTAGAATCCCAGAAAGAGCTCGTGTTACTCAGCAAATTTGGCGCTACTTGAGATCCGCCAAAGCTTCTCATTATGAGGTGGTGCAAGTTTTCCTCCAATTGCAAAGCCAGCCGTGTAACCTATCAGGTCCAATTTTCAAGCAAGTCTGCAGGCGTTTTTACGGCGGTCGGTCCATAAGAGGCAACTCCTACGTCCAAGAGCTCAATCTCATCCCAGACCTGGATCCTGGAACCATTCATCCTCAACCCGGAATTTGTGGCTGGAAACAAATGCTTCCTGTAGATACTGCACACCTCAACCAAACCTGTCCTGATTACAAAGATCAAAAAGGGAAGGCGCTGTTTTGAGAACCCCCTGGATTCAAGCTAGAGAAGACATCCATCTGGGTTGGATGCACAAAAATTGCATAAAAGAGGATGTTATACAGGTTGCACATGAATCGTTGCTCGACAGGTCCAATTGCAAAAGTATATATGCTTGGATCTCACCGTGGTAAACCGACCCCAACAGAGCTGACGCAATAAAACTCCCTGAGCCTTAATCCCTCCCAACAGGCTTGGAATGAGATCATGCACGAGTTGGCCACTTCAGAGGCTTCGCTGCCACCCTCTGTTGTGAAATCCAGCCAGTCTGTAAGCACAAGGACTGAGAGCATATATATATATATAATATTTATATGTACTTGTTTACATATACACACACACATGGGTGAATACCTGTTGAGGGTGTATGAAGCGCATCTATGTCCTGATAATTTTGAGGCTGGATTGAGAAATGTTCCACTAACGACGCCGGTTTGAGCTTAACCTGACGGCATTCTTGACAAGCCATGATCAGAATAACAGAGACAGGGCAGACAGGTTGATTGTGGGCTCATGCTCACTGGTTGAGCGTAAGATTTTCAGAATAGATGCAGATTTCGCAGAGGATTGTTTAGCAGTTGGATGGTCAAACAGGTTGACTGATGTGACCGCCAGCGTAACCGTCTTCAAGCAGGGTCTGCTAGGGTGAGCATCTTTGAACATGTCGGAGATAGTCTGGACTGCGGAAGGCTGTGCGCAGGACGGTACGCTCTTGGCTGGTGCAGATCCCAAACGGTTTGTGTCTGTGGACATTCCAAACCTTGGGTCCCCAGCACCCAAGGTTTCTGGAGGCTTCGATGCCTTCTTGAAAGAGAACCCCCACTTAGAGTCCCAAGCCTACAACGAGATCAAAAAATGTGCCAACTGTGGCAAGCCATGTGCAGTCACCATGGAGATTTGCAATGCCTGTGGCGCGTCCTTGGCCGAAGTCCAGATCTCCAAGAGCCCGAACCTGTTCATCGCGTTCATCTTCGGCGTCGACAAAGCGGGCTTCCCTCTGAAGATCTCGATGAGGTATGAGACTGAGGATGTCATGGTATTTGATGATCCCCTTGCGATCACCCGTGCGCATGTCCTGTCTGTGCCCACGAATGTGCCTTTGGCGGCAGAGTTTTTTTGAAAGCTTCATCTGCAGAGCCATAATTACACAAAATGCGATTTCGTGCAAGCTGATTCGATTCAAGGTGTACTGCCCGGATATTCGATCACTCTTCGCAGACCCTCCAAGCGCGATAAAGCTGCTGAACAAGACGCTGGGCATTCTTGAGCAGAGGTATTTTGCTTTGTTTTTCGTTGCGTATTTGACGATCATCTTAGCTATAGTGTCAGTCCTGAACCCACAGTCCTGTACGCCGAAATCCTGCGTCAAATCTCACCAACAGTCTTGCAGGATGGAGGATGCAGCATGGAAAGCACTATGCGAAGGCCGCCCGGCAGTCATCAGACTTGAACGGATTAGGGTTTCATATAGGGTTTCAGGTGAAGCGTTTGGGCTTCAGGTCTTACAGTAGGTGTTTCGTAAGCATCAGAAAGGCATGTTCGTAACAGGGTCCAATACTCCCGAAGCAGTGAAGGGATCCGTGTTGCAAGGACCCAAACCTGCAAACCCAATACGAATTCATCTAAAAGTTATTAGCAGGGCGGTCTGTTTGTCCTTTTTGTTGCTGCCCCATATGATATCTAGATGGCCCTCCATCAGGCTATTTGGACAGTAAATCCGGTATTTGCAGGAGTCCTCACGGCATTGCTTTTTTCCGGGGATTGCTGCCACGAAAACCAGCCGCAAAACAATGTCAAGCACTGCAGCCGTGGCAGCAGCTCCAAGCAAAATCAATTCCAGCAGCATGACCATTGAGCTCTGATCCTAGTTCGAGGGATTCTGCTTTTGCAGGCCATTTCTTAAATTCCATACGCCCTTGGCTAACTTCCCATCATCACGGCCCCGTAAAGATACGCATCATGTTCTGAGGACACCCTGCAGCTCCTGCATACATCCCAGTACAATCTCCATGTAACCCCCAATTGAGACCTCTGCTCGGCACATGGAACCCCGACATCCTTCAGCTCTATAGTCCCTAGATCCCAAAACCTCCCTACATGTCCCCAAGACAATCCCTACACCACCAAGAGGTGAGTCCTTAGTCTCCCAAAGCGTATCCACACCACCAAGCGAGGGTCCCCATCCAGCCCCATAAAATGCCTACAAGAGGGATGTTCCTCAGTTCTCCTATTCAGTGAAAGTAGCGAGGCCCGCTATCCTCAGAATCCTGGCGGCGGCAGGCGTAGTGTTCACATCAATTCAGAGTTTACTGTAGGATACTGTAGGGTTTTGTTGTCGGGTAAATAAAAGCGACGACATCGAAATTAAGTAGAGCTGCAGGTCGATAGCTATGAGGTGAGGAGGCCTCGATAGAGCTCATCTAAACCCATTGCCCTGATACTACCTTTACCAGTTTTGTGCAGGGTACCCACCTGGAAGTATCCTTGCGGAAATTGAATCTTTTTGATTTCTCCTCTTGAGATTCTGTTTTGACCTTAGGTTCGTTTGCAGGAAGTGAGATTTAGGGGAGACGCTTCTGGGGCTGCTTGCAGGCTGTCAGATTGTGGGCTCAAACTGCTTCTGTAAAACCGATCCGGCTAAATGCAAAATTTGTCTCTTGGGACTTGCATTTCGAGATGTTGTATAATTGGGGTGCCCGCTGGGGGCATGGGGATGCTTCAGCAGGCCCTTTCCGCAGCGGGCAACGCATTGCCGGTGGCTGACCTACGCCATTTGAATGCAACCGACCGGATGTCATAGTCAGGTTTCGCTCACAAACAGGCGTATCCAAAGCGGTGTATAGTGATTGTTATGAAGAATCCACAGAAGGCATTCATTGTGTTGAGAAAGCAGTATTTCCCAATGTGACAACATGACCGTCATCTAAGGGCTGATGATAAAGGCAGGAAGCGCCTGACGCGACTGAATCAGAGCTAGAATCCAGAAAGCAGCCCCTGCGGTGAGAAAAAGGAACCCAATGATGATAATTATGCTGGCCGGGGCGAGGGCGGGGGGGCAGCATGATCAGCATCATGTGGTCTCCGTTTCTCACCACTGCGGCTTGATGCAGCCTCCTCAACTAGCCTCCTGAACTAATTACACACTCCTGGAACCAGACTACAACAGGGGAACGGGTTGTCGGCACTGCAGCCCAACCTATGAGCTTAAGTCTGCACAAGTAGGTGTTGTCGGACTGAAGAGTCTCCGACTCATGCCGCGGACCACAAAACGCGGAAGTTGAGTGCACTGGAGCCTTGAGTGGCTGACAGCAGCCTGCAAGAACACGCGCCGGGCAGGAAAGGCTGACCATCCCGCACGCCCTTAGTTGTTGACGGGCGGGCAGCAAGAACCCTTGTATCAGCAGCTTTTAGCAATCTATTTCTCTATGGTTGCTGAGGATGCAGCACGGATGTAGCAGAAATCTAAACGTTTGCAGCGTGTTTCCAAGTGTTTTGCAACTTAAGTGAATATAGCGGGCAGGAGAAAGGAGTGGTTGTGGAAGACAATGAGCCTGCATTTCTAAATTCATGAAAGCCTTTCTGTGCACAGAGACTGCAAACTTCAGAGAACTATCCTTCAGCCTTTATTCCACTTATTCATGCGCTGTAACGCTGGAAGCTTAGTGGCGAAACTTCCACCTTTCAGCATGGGATCTGAGGCGAGCATATTCTCATGGCGTTTAATTTGCCACCATCGCAGCACCTTGGCTCATGACATGCCCATCTTAGGGATTGCACCTCTTCGAGACCGTGGAACGAGTTCGTAACAGGCCCCTTCTGCCTCTTTCCGTTTTGTGTTCTTGTTCTGCACCTCGACCGAGGCAAGTGATATTCAGCAAGCATGCGGGCATGTTGCATATAGTTCGCACTGGCGTAGAAGCAGCAGGCGAGGCAAGCTTAGTCTTGAGCGAAATTGCACAAACGGCAGAGTTGCCCAGTTTCATTGCGCACAAATTACTTTATCCCAGCGTCGCTCACAATACTCCAAGGGATCCCCAAAAAATTGTTCTGCGGCACGTCTTGAACTGTCTGAGCGCAGCGCCAGCTCCAGGCTGCCTCAGCATCCCACACTGCGCTCCAAATTTTGAGGTTGGTCAAACTTCTGACTCCTCTTGTGCCGCTCTCATAGCAAAGAGGGCACCCCAGGATATGTCGGGGAGGATCTTAACGTTGGGAAATGCCCGAACAGCTGAACGACCCGTTCGGCTCAGGTATCAGCTGCACCTTCAGTACATGCTGCTGCCGCTCTTGCCTTCCCACTTAGGCGTGTACAGGCTGGGTCAGGGTCCCTGATGTTGCTTTCCAACTCTGTTGCTACTTACAGCTGTCTCAGGAAGGGTGGCCACTTTGTAAAGCTTCGTCATTTTCCGCTGGCTTACGTCCTTGCGGCCTTGAATGCTTTAGCGGAGATCGGTGAATCATTTGACGCGACAAAGATGACGCCGAAGGAGCGTGCAAATTCCTTGAAGAAAGCATGTGACTGCGTGACATTGCGTTTTGATGGTTCCGCTAGCATTACAATCATATTGTGCACAGGAGCTGGTAGAGCGAATCTCCAAGCTCGGAGTTAATTACGAAGAGGCGCATGCAAAGGACATGGCGCGGCTTCTCGATGCAACTGTTTGCTTTCAGGCATGAATCTTGACTAGGGAGCGTTGCTACTGGAGTCTCTCATGCAGCCTTCGTGGAAGCAGCCAAAGTCGCCGCCTAGTTTCCTATGTCTTTCAACTCAAGAGCTAATCCGGAAGCATTGTTGGTTGATGATTCGATCTACGGTTCAGGCTAGAGAACAGCAACTTCTTCCTGGCCAACTTTGATCCAGCAGACTTCTCCTATGGCATTGCCAGCGGTGCTGTGGTGCACAAATCGACTGGTGCCAAACTGGATGGAGGGGAAGGTTGGATTTTCTCAATATCGCAAGAGCATACCCCATACTCTTCAATGAGCTCCGATGTGTCTCCCGATGTTCAGAAAAACCCCAGGTGTGCCATCTGCGAAGGATCTGGAGACTTGCCTCCTTCCAAGCATTCCCTACCAGCTTTCAAATCGAAACCCTGGGTCCTCTGCTGGGTGTCCCTACAGTACAGGCTGTGGGTTTGGGCGAGCCTAATTTGATCTGATTTGGTTCATGTCTTAGCCAATAATTGCAAACAGGGTCCAGGCCCCGTTCGCTAGCAGTCACTCCAAGACTTGTTGATATATGTTTGCTCGTGTCAGGTGTCTTATGGACGTTTAGCTGGTGAGGTCTGCTAACGTTCAACTCCATCTCATGGCCCCCAGTGCACCCTGACAAGCTTCTTCCAATGCGTGCAGGCTGAAGCATGTAGATGCCAAAGATCTGTTCCTACTTACTGGGGTCCTTTCTACAGCGCCCGCCATGTTGTGGCTCGCGGTTGTCTACTGAACCTAAAGCCCCTCCAACATTGAGCCATTCCAAATCCCCATCGTAAAGGCTCAACATGAACCTCTAGACTCGACACCCTAAACCCAAAGGCACTAAACCCAAAGCAGCAAATTCAAAGGATGGGGCAGACAAAGCGGCTCTGCAGGGATACGGGCGGCCCTACGTGGATGGCAAGCCAGGCACTGGGTTTAGGGTTTAGGAACTAGGGGTCAGGAGATCACTGGGAAGGTTGCTGGGATGACCGTTTGGGGGGCTGTTCGGACCATAAATTGGTTGCATGCTGGAGTTTTGGGACCCAGGGTTCAGGGGCTGCCAAACTAGTTGGGGTTCTCCGCCAAGGTGGCGTGTACTATCGCTATCCACGCTCTCCACAGCCGTTGCCGCTGTTGGGAAGTTCGGTGGCATGCTGCAGCTCTCTCCCTGCCAGCGGATGTACGTCAGCATGATGGCAGTGCCAACTTGCTGAAGTTGCGGAAGACGCCTCGGGGGAAAAGACCCTGCCAGAGGATGTACGTCAGCATGATGGCAGTGCCAACTTGCTGAAATTGCGGAAGACGCCTCGGGGGAAAAGAAGCCTCGTGGAACAAAAGACATGGGCAGTGCCGCGAGTGCCAGGGTGTCGGTGAGCATGCCTAGGAGTTGCCTAGGCCCAGGCACAGATGAGGTGCAGAGCAAGCGTAGAGGACAAGTGGAACTTGCCGGATGTCAGCTCGATTGTAGATCCATTGACTTTGCGACAGGTGGACTTGTACAAGCAGGGTGAATGGTGTTCTCCGGCAGAGCTCTTCGACGCAGAAACCAAATTTGAGGTGGGAGCTCAGTCCCGTTGCGTGGAGGGTATCTAGTTTCAGGTCGAAGCTCTGATGCATCTTGCACATTTGTGTCTTGTCATCCGGCAAGTAGGGCCTAAGTAGGGACTGTGTCAGGCAAGCTTTTTCTTGTCTGAGCCGTCAGGCTAATATCGCCAATAGGCGCCTGTTTGCATGGCCAACGAAATACGCAAAGAAGAGTATTTTCAGGTGCTGAAGGACAAGTGCCTCATAGACCACCCCAATAGCTGTGCCAAGAGCTAAGTGCAACTGCTTGCAATGGCCTCATGGGTTGGTGGGTTCAAGTTTCAGGGTGTTTTTAGGACAGAGTTTCGGGTCCGGGTATAGGGTTTAGGGTTGTTTTTTGCGGCGGAAGGCGCTAGCTACAGGTTTTTGCATGGAATCAAAGTCTAGAGGCTGATGTAGCCCCCAAACCGCTAGACTCGTGGGAATCGGTCCCTGCAATGAGGAACCCCTACCGTTGAGAACTCTGAAGTCCACATCTGCTAACATTCGATTGATGTGTTTTGCATTGCCTTGAGATGATGACTCGCAAAGTTCCTGACAGAATGCTTGAGCGGGACTCCTACAATTCTCCACGCATCCTCTGGTATACAGTATACGGGTTATGCCGATATGCACGGCTCCATCCACCCTGAAGGGTCCCCCATTTCAAGGAACCATCGGCTGCCAGCTTCAACTGAGGCTCAAAGTCCATACTTTTCCTTCCTCTTCTGGGTGGGCTGCTCAGATCGCCTTGGTAGCACACAGGGAGGATTGGAAGGGTTACGTATGCATGTACAGCATGTGTTGCATCCGAGTAGGGCGCGTGCGTTTATGCCGTGCATGCACAAAGGGCATTTGGTACTGGACATAGGAGCTTTGGGGATCAGGTGGGCTTCAATGACATTAGTTTTAGTGGCCTCGTTTGGGGCTCCACGTACACTTGGGGCCACTCCTCAAATCCGTGTCTGAAGTTTTATTGAGTGGCAAAGTCGGGGTTCTCTTTGGTCGCGGAGAGCTGTAGTTGCATGAGCCCAACAGAGTGTGGGACGGCAAAAGACAGCGGAAGCTACTGCGAGAAGGTGTTGCGCCAGGCGTTGGCTAGGGGTTGCCATCGGCTTTGCAGGGTTTTGTCTTCAAGGTATCCCGCGCCACCTGGGAGTCCAACATTCGTTAGGCCCACTCTCCCCATACATCGTCAAGGACTTATAGGATCATCATTGCAGGGACCCTAAGAAGCGATCCCTAAGCTTTGACGTCAGTTGACTGTTAGTTAGCGTCATGCATGCCCCCAACATTGCCATCGACTATAGCTTCCCATTCAATACCCTTTCGCGGAGGTGCTTTCCCACTGCGATGTCTTAAACAACCCAGAGCCAACCTCAGGTGACATACACATTGCTGATCACTATGATGGCTGCAGCCTCAGACCTTAGCTGGACTTTCTTTGACCTGTGACGCACCTGGTGAGTTCACCGAAGGAAGTAGAGGTTCTTTCAAGTAATTTGCTGGCGGCCATGATGCGGGAATTTTTCGGGGTATTTGGTAGGGCTTTCTTCAAGTTATGGGCTTCTTAAAGCTATGGGTCTCTTTTTTGCATACGTGTGAAGGATTCTTCGCGGCTACTGTATCTTCTAGGTATTACAGGTGCTGGCCTGCGAAATCATAGAGCCTAAGGTTTCTGGAAATTGCAGATTGTGCAGCCTCATTTTGCGCCTCCCGGCTCTGAGGCTCCCAAAATGGAATTGATAGACTTGTTTTTACACATCAGAATGTTCTCACTACTGCTAGTATTTTGATTATTTCCCACCTCCACATCTGTTCAAGAGATGGAGAGAGTCCAGAGTCCAGGGTACCAAGTAGTTGGAGCACAGTTTGATCGCGTCTTTTCAGCAGGCCAGAGTGCTACTGTGTCGAATGTTGGGAATTACAGCGGTAATATATATCTATAGCGCTTTGGGGTAGATGATCAGAGGATTATACCAAGAACTTCAAGCTCAAATGTTAGGCATCGGCTCCTATACTACACACGTTTTCAGTGCATGATGAATCTCTCCACCATGCACCAGTCATTCGCCGGATCCTTGCCCACGATGAAAGTTGCTTTGATCCAATACAACTCTTGCACAATCTAGAGAAAATACCAGTGTGCAACTCCAAGCCCAGAGTTTCATTGAGGTCATGAACCTTGTGATCGCAGTCATCTTGGAAGGCTACGAGGTCCGCGCTTGCCTCTGAAACATAGCAAGTCTTTGTGGAGGTCCGATCGCGAGACCCAAACAGGCTGTGTGACAAGGTTCACTAGGTACATGGCTGTCCAAATCAATGCTGAAGTTGCTACGCGAGCAGCCCCAACCAGATCATCAAGAGACCCTTCTAGTGAGATCGGATTGTAAGTACGGAGTTTCCCCTGCATACCCCCAAAGTCGCGTAGCCTGGCAAGCGGGCTCGAAGTGTTGAGAAGCGCCGCACAGCCTGCATATCATCCTTCTGGTAAAATTCCAGAATTGACTCGAAGTCGTCCCTGTCGAAAAGCTCTGCTTGCAGGATGGCAAGGAGAGTCCTGCCTCGGAGGTTGTGGATGTTTGCGTGAAGGCCTTTGGGGTTTTGCCTCAAACTTAGGGTGTCATTCTTCAGAGGAGTACATGCAAACATGGCCCTGTAAAATCCGGGTCAGTACTGGCTAGCTGTAGTTACACTGTAGTTGATAAACAAGTTTTGCCAGATGCACAGAAGCTGCAATGTCCAAGATACAGGGAGCTAGGGGTGGTGCATGGCCTTTGCCAATATGGGTGTTCATCTCGAAATCAACCCTGGTAGCTCTTCTTCAGGAAATGTTGAGGTTAGATACGGATTACGTGACGAATTTTGAAAGAGTATGTGGGGATATTGCGTGGATTATGTTGGGGTGCTTCTCAAGAACGAAGCCTGCTTTCAGGGTTTCCAAGAAGAAATATACGGGGAATCAAGTATATTAGGAATGTCGCGAAACCTTCACGCCTTCTCAAGATTTCGTGTCGTTGTTTGGTGGGATGCTCATGATGAAGATGAAGCACATTGCATGTTTTGCTTGAGATCTTCAAAGATTTCGGCATATGTATACACACATGCCGTGGAAAGGCTTCAGGCAGCCTTTTCTTTGGGGGTCATGGGTAGTCATAAGCTGGATTATAACTCATAGGTAGCATAACCAGACATGTAAACCGCAGTTTGAACATTGCTAATGTACCCACACATGAATTATCCATGTCCGCCGAGAGTTGCACCCTATAGACCTCAAACCAGAAACCAGCTGAGCCAGCAATTGTGATTGCGCTGCCAGTTGTGGCTGAAGCATGACCCGGATCATAGACTGCGCGTGCCTGAGCTTGGAAGCAACTCCGCGCCACATCTGTCGTCATTCAACCAGCAAGTGCATAACTGGAGTGGCACTTGCAAAAGCACGAGAATTCGGCGCGTAACATGACTTCTTGCTCGGTAACGTCGGAATCGTGATTCTGATTCTTCAGTCAAGTTCACAGGGTTAGTCAAACCTGGCATCCTTCAGAAAAAAAACTACAGTTGAGGTCATGAATTGTTCATCATGCTGATGCTGAGCAGCTGCTTGTTCGGGCTGTATATAGAGGTTTCCATTCTTACTCTGATTACAAGTACAATTATTCTTCTTCTAATTCCGATTGTTGCTTAGTATGCCAGCTGGCACCTGGAGCTCTCAGGTCGCTGCCCCTTGGTGAAGCGCTTAGCTTCATCAACAAGGCTGGAAGATGTGCAAGCTCAACATTCCTGTGTGTTGCTATTCACATTACAGTAGCCTTGACAAGCATATTTGGAGGCTCAAATGTAAAGTGGAATTTGTTCTACCAGTCATGTCAGTTTTAGTACCCTGCAGCAGGCTCTCAGAGAAGTGGACGGGTGCGAACCTTAGCCAGGGAGATATAGCAGCACGCACGAGTTCTGCTGAATGCCACATGTATGGAAGTCTTTTGATGGAAGCCCCAACTTCTGCTTAGGCATTCTCAGTCTTCCAGAGACCTTTTAACATCTAAGCCCCCTAAGCCCCAGGCCCTAAACCGACCCTGAAGGGGGGAGTTTCATGTCAAGAAAAAGCCACGTAGATGTGTCTCGAGGCATTACAGCTACACATCCAAGAGCGAGCGTCCAGGCTCTTCAGGTGAACCTGATGTCTTATTGGCATCCTCCAGCAAATGGAGAGAAAGGGTAGACATGCAAACGCTCATCAAAAAGCTACATACATACCGCTGCATGCTTTTGTACTTGCTGTAAATCGCCGCTACTGGAGGCAGTAGGTAGGTTTCCCTGTCAAAGTGCGTGATGTTCACTTTAGCTGCAGGCTGCTTGTGATGGCGCAGCTTTACCGCAACTAGGAGACACCCGGAATTGGCCCCTTAGATTTAAAGCACCAAGCCCTCCACTCCAAAATCCTAAAACCATCACGTGGCAGGCTCTGGTGCCTCCGCACTAAATATGTCACAGGCGGGGCCGTGGGACGTGTTTCTTGAGGTTCAGGTGATGCCTCAAGCCCTTGATGCATCATGTGCAGCCCTTTGTATGTCCAGCTGGACTGCTGCTTTCCTCAGTCGCTGCCCATGAAGTACGTCGCTGCCCTCGACGTC